TAATGGAGAGAGGCTGAAAACATTCCCCTTGAGAATAGGAACAAGACAAAGATGTCTTTTATCATCACTCTTATTTAACATTGTGCTGGAAATCCTAGCTAGAGCAATAAGGCAAGAAAAAGAAATAAAGGACATCCAAATTGGTAATGAAGAAGTAAAACTGTCCCTATTTGCAGAAGATATGATACTATGTATAGAAAACTCAAAAGACTCCATGAGAAAACCACTGGAACTAATAGAAAGATTCAGCAAAGTAGCAGGATACAAGATAAACATACAAAAATCAGTTGGATTCCTATACAAATAAAAAGAACAATGAAAAGGAAATCAGGAAAACAATACCATTTATAATAGCACCTAAAAAAATAAAATACTTAAGAATAAATCTAACCAGGGATGTAAAAGACCTATACAAGGAAGACTACAAAACACTACTGCAAGAAACCAAAAAGATCTACATAAATGGAAAAACATACCACGCTCATGCATAGGTAGACTCAACATTGTGAAAATGACAATTCTACCCAAAGCAATCTACAAATACAATGCAATCACAATCCAAATGCCAACAACATTCTTTAAAGAGATGGAAAAATCAATCATTAACTTTATGTGAAAATGGAAGAGGCCCTGGATAAGTAAAGACTATTGAAGAAGAAGAATAAAGTAGAACGACTTGCACTACCTGATCTCAGAACCTACTATACAGCTATGGTAGTCAAAACAGCCTGGTACTGGTACAAAGACAGATACTTTGACCAACGGAACAGAATTGAGAACTCATATGTAAATTCATCCACCTACAGTCAACTGATCTTCGACAAGGGCCCAAAGTCCATCCAAAGGGGAAAAGACAGTCTTTTTAACAAATGGTGCTGGTAAAACTGGATGTCCATCTGCAAAAAAATGAAACAGGACCCATACCTCACACTATACACAAACACTAATTCAAAATGGATCAAAGACCTAAATATAAAACCAAAAACTACAAAGATCATAAAAGAAACAACAGGGTCAACGCTAGAGACCCTAACACATGGCATTAACAGGATCCAAACGATAACTACCAACATCCAAACTCCAGAAGATAAGCTAGATAACTGGAATCTTCTAAAAATTATACACTTATGCTCATCAAAAGCCTTCATAAAAAAGAGTAAAAAGAGAACCTACAGACTGGTAAAAAATTTTGGGTTATGACAAATCTGACAAAGTTCTAATCTCTAAAATCTACGGGAAAATCCAACCCTTCTACAAAAAAAAAAAAAAATAGACAAATAATCTAATTAAAAAATGGGCAAAGGAAATGAAGAGACAGTTCACCAAAGAAGACATTCAAGCAGCTAACGGACACATGAGGAAATGCTCGCAATCACTAGCCAGTAGAGAAATGCAAATCAAAACCACAATGAGATAGCATCTCACCCCGACATTACTGGCACAAATAATAAAAAACAGAAAATAACAAATGTTGGAGAGGCTGCAGGGAGATTGGAACTTTTATGCACTGCTGGTGGGAATGTAAAATGGTACAACCGTTTTGGAAAACCATATGACGCTTGCTCAGAAAGCTAGAAATAGAAATACCATATGATCCAGCAATCCTACTCCTAGGAATATACTGTAGGGAAACAAGAGCTGTTACACGAATGCACACTCATGTTTGTTGCAACATTGCTCACAATAGCAAAAAGATGGAAACAACCTAGATGCCCATCAACAGATGAATGGATAAACAAACTATGGTACATACACACAGTGGAGTACTATGCAATGATTAAGAACAATGATGAATCTGTGAAACATCTCACAACATGGATGAATCTGGAGGGCATTATGCTGAGTGAAATAAGTCAATCACAAAAGGACAAATATTGTATGAGACCACTACTATAAAAACTCATGAACATGTTTACACACAAAAAGAAAAAATCTTTGATGGTTACGAAGCAGGGGAGGGGTAGGGGTAGAAAAACACTAAAAAGACGATAGATAAGCGGTAACTTTTGTGAAGGGTAAGACAGTACAGAATACTAGGGAAACCTGCACAACTTGTTCGGCGTAAGGTCATGGAAGCTCCATGGACAAATTCAAACTCCCTTAGGGACCGAATTACTGGGCTGAGGGCTGTGGGGACCATGGTCTCAGGGAACAAGTAGCTTAACTGGCATAACATAGTTTATAAAGTAAATGTTCTACATTCGACTTTGGTGAGTAGCATCTGGGGTCCTAAAACCCTGTGGGCAGCCATCTAAGATATTCCACTGGTCTCACCCCTTTAGGAGCAAGGGAAAAATGAAGAAAACTAAAGACACAAGGGAAAGATTAGTCCAAAGAACTAAAAGACCATAACTACCATGGCCTCCACCAGACTGAGTCCAGTTCAACTAGATGGTGGCCAGCTACCTCCACTGACTGCTCTGACAGGGATCATAACAGAGGGTTCTGGACAGAACCGGAGAAAAATGTAGAAAAAATTCTAACTCAAAAAAATACCAGACTTACTGGCCTGATAGAGACTGGAGAAACCCCAAGGGTATGGCCCCCGGACACCCTTTTAGCTCAGTAATGAAGTCACTCCTTAGGTTCACCTTTTAGCCAAAGATTAGACAGGCCCATAGAACAAAACAAGACTAAAGGGGCACATCAGCCAGGTGCGAGGACTAGAAGACAGGAGGGGACAGGAAAGCTGGCAATAGGGAACCCAAGGTCGAGAAGGTAGAGTATCAACATGTCATGGGGTTGTTAACCAACTGTTACTGTACTAACTGTTTAATGAGAAGCTAGTTGGTTCTGTAAACCTTCATCTAAAGTACAATAAAAAAAAGACACAAATATGCTAGACCATAAAACAAATGTCAATAAATTCAAAAGGACTGAAATCATACAAAGTTTGTTCTCTGACCACAGTGGCATTAAATTAGAAATCAATAATAGAAAGAAATTTGGTGATTCTGCAATTATTTCAAAATTAAACAACATGCTTCTAAATGACCCATGGGTCAAAGAAGAAATACCAAGGGAAATTAGAAAAAATCTTGAACTGATTGAAAGTAAAAACACAACATATTTTAAAAAAAAAGAATATAGATCTCATCAAGCACCTGCCTCCACCTCTTCAATGGTTTCCCATTACCCTTTGCACAGAAACCCATAAGCCTCCATGAGCCTAAAGTAGCCAGTTGTAGTCTGTGTTTCTCAGAAGGTAGAGCCGGAGGCAAGACCCACATGCAGGTGGTTTATTTGGGAAGTGATCCCTGCAAGCGCCAGTGAGAGGCTGAGGAAGTGAAGCAGAGAAGGAGGGAATGTTAATACAAGGACATGTTCTTGATTCAGTTACCCATGTGGGTGATTGAGGAGGCCTGGTGGCACAGTGGTTAAAGCACTCAGCTGCTAACCAAAAGGTCAGTAATTCAAACCCGCTAGCCACTCTGTGGGAGAAAGATGTGGCAGTCGACTGGCTTCCAGAAAGATTTACAGCCTTGGAAACCCTATGGTGCAGTTCTAGTGTGTCCTATTGGGTTGCTATGAGTTGGAATCGACTGGACAGCAGTGGATTTTTGTGGGCGATTGATGCTTGAAGTGTGTAGGTACCTTCTGCAGATGTCCTCAGAATCGTCCTCTCCAAGGAAGAAAGAGGAAGCATTTAACCATTGCTCCCATGCCCAATGGGCATTAATACTCTGTATTTCCATGTTGTGGAGCATGTGAGTGCTGTGTTGATTCCCACGACTGGAGTCCAGGGCAGGAAGTAAGAGACACAGGCCATGTAAAATCATCCTGGAAAATCTAAGTCACTCACAAAGTGCATTCAGTGCCTTATATGTCCTGTTTTGATTGTGATAAATACACATATAACAAAAATGTGCCACATCTGCAACAGTTTATGCCCTTCTGTCTATAGAATCCTGCAGAGGATTTTCCTTAATCCCTCTAACTCTCGATCAACAGATGTTTCCCTGAAGCCTTCAAACATTTCTTCAATTTCTTCCAGGAGATGTCAACAGAGGCCACCCACTTGCCTGATCACCTGAACAATATGTGCTTCACTTCTTTGTCAATTCTTCATCAGTCCTTTGATAAGTCACATTCTTTCATAAATTTCACCTGGGAATTGAGAGTTTCAGCAAATAGTAATTGAATCATTTACTAACTCATGAATCCTTTTCCCTCTGAAAATTTACAGTTCAGTCCCTGATGCTAAATATGTATTTGATATTATTCTACTGTAATACTTCCATCAGTTGAGATTCTTTTGACGGCAAGCAACAGAGACTGAGTCTGGCTAACATAGGTAAAAAAGAGAATACAATGGAAAGGAACAACGACAATTCAGAGAATGCAAGGAAGTACTAAATCTACACAACTTGGGAAGGACAGGAACCAGGGCAGGTACAACATCAGGAACATATAGTCTGCCCCTCATGCACCCTGCTGTCAGATGGCCTATGTCCAAACACCTTGAATACACCTTGAATCTCAGTGTCTCTGATTAAAATTTCAAATTCCCTGGAAAGACAATAGATTGGGTCAGTTGACTATATTCTTGGACCAATCAGTCAGGCCAAGGACCAGGAAGAGGAATGGATCATAGGAACATAAACCCTGAAAGGAAAGTCTCGGGTCAAGTGGCCACCTGAGTTTGTACTTACTACATGTAGTCTACACCTTGGCTGCCATGCACCCTTCTTCTTATACAAACAAAGGTGAGTCTTCTTAACCTGTCTTGGATTCAACTACCCTGTTTACAATGGCAAATGCACTCACCCCTCCCTCAGTTAAAGACAAATCCAAATTATCCCCATCAACTGCATCCTTGTCTGAGGCTGGGTTCTCTAGAGAAGCAAAACCATTGAAGTGTATAAATATATATATATAGAAAGATTTATATCAAGGAAATGGCTTACGTGGTTGTAGAGGCTGGAACATCCCAAATCCGTGGGTCAGGATAGAGGCTTCTCCTGATTCATGTAGCCGCAGGGGCTGGAGAACCCAAGATCGGCAGGTCAGAGAGCAGGGCTCTTGCTTGCAGTCTGTAAAGAATAATGAATGCCAAAAGACTGAGCATCATGGCCTAGCCAAGTTGACATACAATCTTAACCATCACAATCCTGAAATTATGTCATAGAGTGAAGGGCCCTCAGTGTGATGTCAATTTTACTTTGGCTCCTTTAGGCTTCTTTCTTGATATTTTGCATATATATATGTATGTATGTATATATATATGTATATCTATATGTTTACAAGAAACAAAAGGAGCCCTGGTGGCACAATTTGTATGCTGAATAATGGCTTCCCCAAAATGTCCAGGTCTTAATCCCCAGAACCTGTAAGTATGTTAATTTACATGACAAAAGGGACTAAATTAAGATTCTTGAGATGGAGAGATTATTTGGGATTATCCAGACGTATCCAATGTAATCACAGGGTCCTTGAAAGAAGGAAGCAGGAGGGTCAGCGTAAAGAAAAAGTAAGGTGATGATGGAAGCACAGAGGTTGGAAGATGTTATGCTACGGATTTTGATGATGGAGGAAGGTACCATAAGCCAAGGATTGTGGGTGGCCTCTAAAAGCTGGAAAGGGCAAGGAAAGGCATTCTCCCCTAGAATCTTCAGAAGGAACACAGTCCTGCAAATACCTTCGTTTTAGGACTTTTGGCCTCTAGAAGTGTAAAAGGATAAATTTGTGTTGTTTTAAGTCACTAAGTTTGTGGTATAAGGCCTTGGTGGTTCAGTGGTAGAATTCTCCCCTTCCATGTGGGAGACCTGGGTTCGATTCCCAGCCAGTGCATCTCATGTGTAGCCACCACCTCATCTATCAGTAGGGGCTTGTGTGTTGCTGTGATGCTGAACAGGTTTCAGTGGAGCTTCCAGACTAAGACAGACTAGGAAGAAAGGGTTGACACTCTCCTTCAGAGAATCAGCCAATGAAAACCCTGTGGATCACAGCGGTCGCATCGCTTACCAACCATGGGAATGGTGCAGGACTGGGCGGCGTTTTGTTCCACTGTGTATGGGATTGTCATGAGTCAGGGACAACTTCATGGCAGCTAACAACAACTAAATTTGTGGTAAATTTCCTATTTGTCATAGCTACAATAAGAAATGAATACTCCTTCCCCATCAGTGCCCTAATTTTTGCTTAAGAGATCTAGTGAAGGCTGAGTTCATCATGTGAATCAGAACTCTGCAGAATCAATCTCTAAATCTGGTTTTTATAGGAGAGTCTTTCAGCTGAAAATATAAACAGCCAGATTTTTTTTCATGCCTTGAGGGGAATTTTGAAGATTTCAGTCAGGTGTTTGTCAGTAGCCTTAGAAAAACCCATCCTACTTCTGTCTCAGAGTTCCTCATTTCCTTTTCACTGCTTGACAGCCCCCACTATCCAGAAAGCTGAGGGGTTTCACCACTGCGTTGCCCTGCACCTCCACCGGAAAATCAATTCTTACTGTACAAATCCTCTTGAGGGTCTGTTGCCTGCAGCCAACTCTTACCTGCCATTTTCTTTGTTAATTAAGATCTTTTGGTTGTGAGAAAAGCAACAATAACAAAATAAAACCAAAATAAGAGCAAATACGAGAACAAAAACAAAACATCCGTGACATGTTCTCTCCTTTTCAAAATGGGCGATTGAGAGCTTGATGTAACTAACTCCATAATGATACTCTAAGTGACCTATAAGGTTTTTTTTTTTTTGCCTGTCTTCTCCTTTTCGTATGTTTTTATTAATGACTTTGTTTTGTACAGTTCGTCCATCTGTAACTCCTGATGTACAAACATAAAGATTAGAGTCAGATGTCCTGCATGCATATCTTTAGTCTAATAAAGAGTTTCTTTTAACTGTCTTGTGATGTATTCTCATCCGACCATCTGTGGGCTACATGCCTGAAGACACTATTTAACATTTGCAAAAATGACATATGAGCTCTGATGTAGAAATTGCCTTTCAGGACTGCATGAAGACAGCCAACATTGCTGTCGGACTTCCCATTGGTGTCACTTCCTAATAAACTTTCTCTTTGTGACTTGGAGTGCGTTTCATTGGCTTGACTGCTCCAGGGCATGGACCCTAATTGAGCAACAAATTTTGATGACCAACGTGGGGCTGGAATTTCTCTGACCCTGGTTCCCTCTCCTTAAGGACCAAGCCCTCGGGAAGGACCTGGGAAGAGAGAAGATGCACCCCTCTTTGGCTTGTGGAGGTCTCTCAACCTGTGGTGGCCTGGAGGTCCAGCGACAGGAGAGGAGTCCATGGCAGCGAGCTGCGGACGGAGGAAGCTCAGCTGTATTATGGTAGGTGTTTGGGCTTCGGGTATAAGATCCTGTGTAAAAGTCGTAGGGGCATCTCTTCTCACAGAGTCCATCTAAGAACAGGTGACTAGGTCCTGTGAGGTTGGGCGATAGGCTGGTGAGGATCCGGTTGCCAGTGAGCACCCAGGGAAGTAAGATTCAGGCTGAGAGTCCACTAGGCCTTATTCTTTCTTTCTTTCTTTTATTTTTTCCTATACAAAAATTTTTACATACATTGTTATGTGACCCTAATTGCTCTCCCCATACTGTGACAG